CTATATATCTATTTATGTTCTAACAAGTATAACTACTTGTTAAACACAATATTCAACGTTCATAAAATATCAATTATCTCGTCTAAATATTCATAACCAAGTAATGGGAGATGTGCCTTAAATCGAAGGACAGTGCGCTTAAAGATAGGAAACGATTTCAATGCCATCCTCAAGTTATATGGCCAAATGACACTGCATGTCGCTTTCTTGGCCTTAAAGTTAAACCAAAGGCAGAAGCAACTTATGTTGCACTGCTTACCATCCAAATTATATGGACATAGAAGTACGGGAAATAAAAATCCCTAAGGAAATTATCACTGGTTGTTTAAGTAAAAATGCGGATAACTTTTCTGAAATGAAGAGTTAATTATCAGTCGACCGCTCTACCAAAAAGTGAAAGAGGAAAATACAGACCTAAAACTGCCGACTCTCGTTCACAGATGTATGTGAGGGTTAACACATAGCCAAGTGGTGGACCGAAAGGCATCAAAGTGGTATGGGAATGGGATTCCACTTTGGTTAGCATGCATGTGCAAGTGCTGGTAAAGTTATGGTGTAAAAGCTAAATGGAAAAACCGAAAAGAGAACGGAGACTTCTTTTTTTGCTTTCTGTACCATCCAGGTTTTGATTTGATGTTTTCAACTGAAACTCAAAGGGAACGGAAGAGCATCCTCTCCTGAGCTTAGGATAGAGATTCTCCTGATCATGAAATCCGAACCGTTCAAATTTAATCAAACGGTTGCAATTATTATAATTTTTAGAGGATTCCCCTGTTTGGAGCCGTTGCAATTATTATAATTTTTAAAGGATTCCCCTGTTTGAAGCCGTTGGATTAAATTTGAACGACCTGGATTTCGTAATCAAGAGGATTCCCATCCTGAGCTCAGGAGAGGATCCTCTTCCAAAGGGAACTATCTTTTTCTTGCACTGTATAATATATATATATATATATATATATATATAAACAGTCAATTATAAGTATATAATGAATGGGGCTCCCTGGATTTCTGTGGTGGGTCAACCGTGTACCACTAAATTCTAACTTGACTTCGAAGAAAATAATGCGGGAGTTATGATATGATCGGATGTGAAACAACAACATTAAATATCAAAGGGTGCTCTGCTCAGAGCTTTTATACATGTGTGGGGGATTAATGCAGATACATGATATAAATAAAATAGCACCCTCAAGTTAACAAGATTTATCGCTTTGCGAAGATCGAGAAGAAAGTCTGTCGTACGCAGTCTTACTCTTATTTTGCAAGGATGTTGTTTCCATGATATAAATGAATGAAACAATATATATATAGAGAGAGAGAGAGAGAGAGAGAGAGAGAGAGAGAGAGATGCTTACGTAGTTCACACTTGAAAACTCAAAAGTCTTACTAATTTTGTCCTTTTTTTTTATATTTTAATTTTATGAAAAACGGTATTCTACACTAATTTACATGAAAAGAAAGATGAAGGGTTTAAACCGAGAGGCAATCCACCATTTGCCAATGTATTGCTATATTCTTAAGTTCCTTAACTCAAAGCAATAATTTTGTATATTAGTCGTTTTATGTACTTCAAGCTTGGAAACCTGATGTGTTTTGAAATTTTGGAACTTCCAAATTTCAACATAGATACCAATTTTCTTATATTTTTCTGAATTTTCGGATTCAAGAATTCAGGTGTTCAAAATTTGGAAATTGTCGAATCAAAACAAGTTGAAATCAAAATTTCCAATCCAATTTGTACACCTATCTAAATTCTAAACTCTAAAGCAGACTTTTATATGCTTGAGTTTTCTTTTCAATATCGATTTCCATTTAATTCCAATTTTTCAATGAAGAGGGGTTCTAGACAGGAAGCCATATGGCTATAAAGGCAAATTGATGGGCGTTGTTAGTTGTGGCAGACAACGAATATAACCCACCAATTCATATGTTCAAGGCCAAATGAAATGGGTCACATACTAACTTTCCTATGCCCTCATCACATGGATTGGGACCCTTCAATTTCAAGACCAAGATTTGGCGATTCTTATTAACCACACAGCTCAAAACACTTTTGGTTGTCAAAAACCGCTTTTAGCACTTCCGCCGGCAATGCCGAAAATTTATTTAACCATCACTACGACACACTATAACGCGATTTTACGTTAATGTCGATAAAAGAACCAAAATGCAGTCAGTCATATACAACCCAGAGTTGAAAATATACAACTGGTTCAAGAACCTATCTCCCTCCCTCCCTTGCTCCTATTATCCTATGCAGCAAATGGAAGATGTCATGCTTTACAAGAAGCATGATATGTCTTCTACTTCTTCCCGTTTCATCTGTCTGGGGGAGTAGCCTACGGCGTCAAAATGATGACCGTCGAATCTGTATAGCAGTCAGTAGTAGTACCCCGGCGCAGGAGGTTTATAGGCTCCATGATATTGAGTGTTAACGGGAAGAAGATGTCAATACTGAGGACCAGGAGCTGGAGTTCCATATGGTATAAGCCTGAATCATAGCCAATTACACAATGAGCATAGCATAAATCATACAAGATACACGTAACGATAATATGAAGCTACCACCATGTGCAGGTGGGGAAGGATTGGGAAGAAATGTGGGTGCTATTGGAGACCGGGAAGCAGCACCTCTGGGATCTCCAGCACTGCCAAGATGTCTGTGAGCATTGCCTGTGAATGAAGTCGCCGCACTACCCGGATAAGCTCCACTCACAGTACTACCGTAGGGGTTAGTGGGAGCACAGGGTCGTCCATAACTCTGGTAATGATCTGTACCTCCCCTAGGAACACCACTGTAACCAGAAGGCGTAACAACCCTAGGTACAGGCGACTGAATAGGATATGGCTGCACCACAGATATCCTAGGTGCAGCACATGGCTTCCAACAGTATACGCAGAGGGGGCGTTGAGGGGGTGCGAAAGGTGTAGTCGCATATGGCCCCAAATTTGAAGGTGCAGCATAGAACTACATGCTTGGCTTAGGCTTCATCACCATGCACTCAATCACTTTAATGTCCTACTTACTCGCTAAGCAACGCTACTAGGCTTGGCATAGTGTGTGACTAATTCGTTAGCATATCGTGTACATGTTGAAGCTTCCATTCTTCTTTTTCCCGTACAAGGATGGTTAACTTATGAACTGTAAAAGGGAATTGTAGGTCATATTAAGACAGGATATTTAACGGAAAGCGTTATGAAATTAGGCATGTGAACCGGCATGGCCTTACTTTTCATTTGAAGAAGGATTTAATTTGAACAGCTAAAATTTAGGCAATGTCGACTTCCACCAAGTGCCGCCGATACAGTAAATTCTTGTAACTATTGAAATCTTACTTAGTTTGCAACTAAGAAAACGTAAACCCACGAATTGCTCCACATAAGAACCACCACTGATTCTGTCCTAATGATCAAACTTTCTAAAAAGTTTTAAGTAATTTGTACCTCAAGTCATAAGTTTTATTATTTATTTATTTATTTATTTTGAATACATACGATATTATCTATACCAAAGGGTGGTAGAGTGAGTTAAGACTCACAATGAGCTAGCTACATAATTTGGTTCGAATTCATCTTTAGCAAATAATAAGATGTATTTAAAAATCAGTGTAGTAAAACATGTGTTGGTCTTAGGCTTCGTTTGGCAGCTCGGACTATACTGACTATTTCAGTCAGATAGGATAATTTGTCATCGGATAGTACTGACTATTTAGTCGAGCGTACTGACTATTTAATCTGGCGTTTGGTGCAGTATCGGGTTAAAAAATCAATTCATCAAAGATTATCATGTTCATTTACTTCCTCAAAAGGAGATTGAGGAACATTTATGGCACTGAGTTTCACAATTTAAAACTAGCAAGAGAGATGGAAAAAAAGCCAACTTGATTTTGTTTTCAGCGACCCGACTAATTAATACCGACGATTTGGAGTGTATAAATTATCCGACGTACGTCGTATAAAATAGGCCGGACCGCATAAATAATTCGGTGCTAATTTAATACGGAATGGCACCAAACACCGGATAGTATTAAATAGTACTATCCGGTGTGTTATCTGGCATGCCAAACACGCTATGAAGGTCTTGGTTCTTTCTAACCGGTCTTAGCGGGAAGAGAAAATAAGAGCTCGTTTGGATGTGCTTTTAAAATGATTGAAAACGCTTTTATAGAAAATGTTTTTGGATTCCAAAAGCACTTTAAATGCTTTCTACAAGAAGCACTAGTTAATTGCTTCTTCCAGGAAGCAATTTAAGTGCTTTTCCAATATTTACTAACATTTTTACTAAGAACTGTTTTTAAAAATATTTTCATCAAAAGCGCTTTCTGTAATTTTAAAAGCACATCCAAACAGGCTCTAAGACTACAAAGGTTTATAATGCATTACGAGCATTGTTGGAACTAATTTTTGCACCTCTGTGAATGAAGTAGCTGTGCGAAAACGCCACCTACAAGCAAGAACAAACAACCATGAGTAACTTAGGGTATTGTAACGGCCAAAGGCCCTCCGACGGTAAGTCAATATAAATCTTAGAACTCAAGAGTGGGAAAGAGAGCAAAGCATGCGTATGAAAATGTTTTCATTGACTAGGTAAGGTATTTATACTAGTCAGGAAATAGTCATTTTAAGATGAATTGGTATTAAACTAAGAGAATTATAGAGGATAGCTAGCATAAAATATTGCTTCATTTTAAGATTATGATCTATGGTGTACGCCATAAATAGATTGTAAGAATCTTCAAGAATACAAGAAACCAATTCTGATCCCCAATCATATCAAGTTTTCATGTCTTGAGAAGCGAGTATGGTCAATCTCAAAGAGGCCTAAGAACCACGCCTAACATTCCAAAGCCCAACAGGGTATGGTGACATTGTTGGTCAATCTCAGCGAGGTCTGCGATCCTCGCCCATATTGCTAATTACATTTAAGAAGCCAATCCAATAAAAAATCCAAGAAAATAACAAAAAAACTAAAATCCACATAAAAAGAAAAGAAACAGAGAAAAAAACGAAGAACAAGTACATGGAAATTTCATTGAAACGCAACATCTATATACATTCTTCATTTTATTATCAAAGTGGAAGGGCACAAGATTAGCCCTTAACAAACAACTTGTGAATAGTGGAATCTCTCTCTCTCTCTCTCTCTCTCTCTCCTCTTCAAAACATGTACAAAAAAGAGATGAACAAGCAAGTTTATGATCTTCAACGATGGCTTTGAAGAAACTGCTTGCAACCATATATTTCTCTGTTATGCACACCCTGCAGCACCGTCTTTTGCTCTTTCGATCGTTACCCTAATCGACGAAAACTATGAAATTCACAAGTATGAGTTTGTATTTACACTACCGACATTGCATATATGCAGACTCATTCATCTTCCTCCATGAACAGCCCTTTTCGAGTCCCCTGATCCTCCTCCGCCTCGTCGTCCCATGAGGCAAACAAGTTCACAGACAACTCAGCAAGCTTCTTCTGGTTAGGCAACTTCCTGTGCATCTGCCTCCACTGTTTTGGAGCATTCGGGGCTTCAATCTCGTCCGGAGAGCTATTCGAATCTGATAAATCAATGGCGGTTCGGAAAGCAAGGGTTTTCGAAGGCGTGCTGTAAGCAAAATGCCACTGCTTCGCAACCAGAGTCTGCAATCAAACACTATGAAACATCAAAATCAATGCCAATTGATCAAAACAAATTAAAAATTAACTATTGAAGTTAATTGAACAAATTAAACTTACTGCTTCTCTAATCGCTTTCGATACACGGAAAAGCCGCTTCAAATCATCGTGATCGACTCCACACACAACCTTAATCTGCAATGCACAGAAATAGAAATGTGATTACAAACGAATTAAATCGAAATCAATTTTATATTTGATTGTTCAATCGCAAAAAATTGAGAATTAGTTTCCAAAAAAAATTGAGAATTTGGGGCTAACCAGAATCTCCTGAGGCAGAGCTTCTAGGGCGGAGGAGGCGGCAGTTTCCGATTCCCAAATCATCTTCCCACTCCGCTGCTTCTTCAATGGAGTATTGGGATACAAATCAGCCGGCGATGCCTCCTCGCCATTGTTAGAAATCCCAATCCTCTTCCTCCCCAAAGCTCGCGTGTACTTCACAAACCCTAACTCCATCATCGGCTCCGCCTCCGCCGCAACAGCACCGCCGCTGCCACGCTTCGTTTTCAAGCAACTCTTGCACTTCTTTCCCAACGCCATCTTCTCCAATCAATAAACAATCTCAAAATCCCTAAACCCAAAAACAAAAATGGAATCAGATTACAAGCAACACTGAAAAAACACAATCTACAGAAACCAGATTCTGAAAACAGTTTCTGAAAATTTCTAAAGTCCAGAGAACTGAGAATCCAAAAGCAAAGAGAGTAAGAAACCTTGCGTTAGATTAAACCCTAGATTCCTGCCCCGTTCAGAGTATCTCTCTCTTTCTCTCACTAAACTTTCTCTCTCTTCTGTGTTTTTTGGTGTAGAAATAGAAGCAGAGAAACAGTTTATATACGGAGCGAAAAGATTATATTTTTATATTATTTATTTATTGTTTTTTGAAAAAAGCGAAAAATGGTGAAAAATTAAATAAAGGAGGGTAAGCAAACTAGCCGTTGGAGTGCAGACGTGGCGGAGGGAGATGGCCGGTAGGAAGCTGCACGTGTGCTGCCGTGGCGATATGGACGGTCAGAGTCGGCGGCTATGTCGTCAGCTTTCCTAGCACGTTTTACGTGTTAGAGAGTCCCGACGACGTTGGCTTCGGGTTAGACTACAGTGACGGTCATCTAGTGGTGGAGCTTTATTGACTCGTTGGTTTCATGACACGTGTACGGATGATGTGGATGGACGGTGAATATTTTATGATTTTCTGCTTTATGACTGGGGATGAAGAAATTTTTAGTTGCGACGAAAACACAAGTGTTACATCACGTGTTTTAATAGGAATTGTGAGAAATTTTTTTTTTAAATTATTAATTTTTCAGCACACATATCTCAACATTTGTTTAGTGACACGTGGTGTACAATCCCGTGTATCGGTCACATTAAAAAATCTTTTCTGGGGATGGGCGTCGTTTGACAGAAGATTCAAAGATTGGTTGGCCGACGGCTGTCGCATTAGCAGCCGTCAATATCAACATACGTCAAAACCAAAAGCATGTTTGTGTAGTGAACATTTTTTATTAAGTTTTTCAATTGACTTAATTTTCCTTATTGGTTGCAACTTGCAAGCAGAAGAAGCCGGAAATATCGTGTGACTAATACATTAAATATTATAATATAAATAATTAGATATTTAAAAGAAAAAATTTTCAACCACTAATATTATGATATTTGGTGTAACGATCCACATTGAAGAATTTCTCTTGAGTGGCTAGGTTGTCTCGTTAACAATTTTCTTCTTCCTTTACAAAATTTAATTAATTCTTTATTGGTTTGTATAATTTTATTTTATTTCTCCTTTTTCTTATAGTTACTCATATTTGGCAAAATTTGTATTTGAAAAATCAATCCTCCAATTTATCCAAAACAATAAAATCAAACCTTCAATCATCAATTTGTTTATTTATTTTTAATATGGATAAATTTTATTGATTGGTCCGATAACGATTGATGAACACTTTTAGATAGAAAATGCATGCGAATTTAAAAATCTTAGATTTTAAATCGCAATCATTGTGCAATGAGAAGTGTTTGAGTTAGAAGTAATTAGCAAGATTTGAGGATGCCAAAAAGGTCGGGAGCTAGCAATACATTTCATTTTCCGTCGAAGAAAAAAAAAAGAAAAAAAAGGAGAATAACAATTAATTTGGTCACATTTGGTGAATTTAAGAAATAAAAAACTAGATTAGGCCCCGATGTTTCATTGAGTTGTCATATATACATAAGAATGGACCAGTTGATGATTTCGTCAAAGCAATCCTCCTTTTTGGAGGATGGGAAGGCTCAAGAGGAATTGAACCTAAAATCTGTGTGTGGTATACAGGCCTGAAATTTATTCCAAACCATTGAGCCACCCGTAATGGTTATTGAGTTGTCACATAATTGAATTGTATCAAATTTAAGCCATGCTAAGAAGGTATGTGAATGCAAATTTCTTCCTCCTTGATTTTGGACAAAATTGCACCTACAAAACAATTAACGCTTTAGGGTTAAGGCCAAGAGCCTCATGCGCCCACGATGAATGGGAGGGGCTTTGGCCGAAGAACCTCCGATGCCAAAGTTAGAATTTTGAGAGAAAAGTGTTTGGAGAGTATTGAGAGATTTGCAAGTGTGTTGGAATGATCTTTTGGTGAAAATGGGAGCCTATTTATAGGGATAGGGTGGCCGGTCCCCTTTGGATGTTTTTTAGGGTGTAACTTATGGTTTAATGTGTGATTTAATGGATAAATTAGGCAATTAATCCATTAATTGGTTAACCAACACATTTTGGGAATAAATATTTTGGGGGTTATGTAATTTATATGGGATATTTTGAAGGTTATGAAATAATTACCTTGTGGAAAATATAGGATGAAGATGGATGAAATAACTTTGAATTTGTTACCTATTTTGGGCACTTTTGATTTGGTTGAAGGATGATTGCCCGCTGCTCGAGCGTAGGAATCACGTTGTACCTCAAGGGTAATTTTTGACCTCTTTTGTCCAAAAATACATGTGTCGCCTTGTAATTATTTTTTGCTCCACAAGGTCAATGTCCCCCCAAACATCTAAGGCACCAATGCTAGCCCATTGTGAGACTTAGCATGCTCCTCTCCCTATAGATACGTAATATCATTTGTTAAAAAAAAGCCACCAAATGAGCACGAATGGGTTGCGGATCATGACAAACCTAGATTTTTTAGCCATTTCTTCATGAATTTAAATTCATGTCAATCCAACCTTAATTTACTTCAAACCAATTAGATAGCAAAGAGTCAGCTACCGCTACTGCCCTGGGTTGTCTTTTACAAATGGGCATTTGGGTATTCAGATCTTCCACGGTTCCACCAGCCCTTAGTTTGTGTTGGGCGTTTGGCCTTCTTGTATTACATATAAAGCACCCTCAATTGATGCTTGTAATTGGTGAAAAACACCACATATGGATGTAATCAAAGTTATGAAAAAAGTTTGTTTTGGTAGCTGTGGAACCATTAAAAGTTTACAATTTATTAATTGTTGTAACATTTTATATCTCCTAAGTGAACTAGGATACGTTTTGGAAACCAACCTAAAATCAAGAATCCAGCATCAAGACACGTGTGATATGCGTGTCTGATCTTGCTCTAGAACGATTAATTAATAACCGAATCTCGTGAGAATCATAAACAGTTAGCTATTTGCATACAAGTTTGAAGTCGTGATTAACACGCGCTGATGCATTAACTAAACTTAGAAAGTTTCAAAAATAAAACTGCCATATAAATGAGCGGCGAACCTCTATATTACAATGCCGTACATACGTGCATGTGATATACGTTCTTTCTCTATATATATTGCATGCAAAATGCACAAAGTGACGACTGTTGAATACCTATAATGTTATAAAGATTTTTTCTTCAATAAGTACAATGTTATGAGTTATAGCAAACTATAAATATATAGGGTACTTATAGATGAACTTGTTCAACTTGAAACTAGCAACAGGAACTGATAGAGCAAGATCAAAATTCAAAACAAAAGTTCAACGGAATTCCAGAGACATTAATCCAGTTGCAATGCAAATTGCTACAGAAATCACAATAACATACATAAAATTGATACTAAAACTTGATGTTTTTTTCTCAGAAATGACTCAGCCATATCTGAAAAAACCAAACGGTTAAGGATAATGGTGCTGCAATATCTATGAAATTAACCACCAATCTAAATAGCAATTGTTTATAATAAGACTTAATATTAGAACCTAATGGTTCTCCCCTCTGTGAATGCTTAACTAAAAATGCTTTAAATTATGTTGCAAACTAAACAACCAATCAGTTCGAAAACTGGCAATCTGGAGCTTCCAAACCTCTCAGAAAAAACAGTTCCTCTTCATCGCCATCAGCGTCCTTTCCAAATCCTTGAATGCTGTGGATGAACACCGCTCCTGTCATTCGCAGAAAAGTATACAGATAGTCTTGCTTTGCTAGATATTCTCCAAGCGAAAAAACATTCCTGCAAATGGTTATAATTCTGCCAATAACCAGGAGAGGTTTTGCTGTAATTTCTTACAAAAATCAGAATCAGGGATTCCAAACATATAGCCCTCTGCACAATAAAATTCACCAACAACATGTGATGAGGTTCGAAGGCGAAACCATGGATTTTGATGATAGTAAGAAACTTAAACCAGCCAACATTGCTGGTCTCCAATAACGGCTGAAGATGTAACTCCCAGTAAGGCCCATGGTTAAACTCAAACCTACAGGCACGCATCTGCAAGATAATTGTGTATATATGTATAAATATGTTAACCAATTACTAATGTTAAGTAGCCTCTATATAAAACCGTAGATAATTACTGAATTGGTTTGTACTCACGTCAATGAACAGTCTTTCCAAGGATGGAGTATTCTTTAGAAAACAAGCAATGTCTGTGACATTGCAGAAACAATGTTTCTGCAGGATGAGGTGCAGTTCTTTAAGATTCCAAAGGCTGAAATCCTTCTCCTTGAGACGCCCATTAACACATCTCGGGGACAAGCCCTAATTCACAAAAGAAAATATAGATTAATTAACAAAGAATATTAGATAAATTAATTGATTAATCAAAGAAATAAGAACAAATAATTTATGAACTAATCGATGATATCAATAGGCAAAAGGCCTCAAGTGTAATTAGAACTAAAAAATTTCATTATTCATTATATTTTATTTCCTCAATTTTTAAATGTGAGACTTTTTTTTTGTCAAAAAATGTGAGACTTTTTACACTGTTCAAAAGTGCAGATATCCGCATTTCATTGCAAAAATAACACAAAATCGTGAATGTGATAATATGTAAATTATTTTTTTAATGATTTTAATATGTAGAAATGAAGTTTTCTTTTGCAAAATTAGCTACATATTTAAGTAATCACTATAGTGAGGGAAAGAAAATAGGGATTAACCTCAAGGAATGTGCCGGTAATTGTGAGGACCCCGACCATGCAGACCGCAGAAACAAGGTTTTCGATTTGCCGATAGTTTGTGAAAACTGTGATCGGGTTAAACTTTATCATGGCCTGCTTCAAGTGCACCATAGGCTGCGAAATAATTTGGAAACCAGGAAACTGTCCAGTGTAGTAAAAATATTGAAGACTCGGGGCATATACCGTCACAGTTTCAACGCTTGAGCCGCGGTTTGCAATCTTCAACACACGGAATCTCTTTAGGTACGGTGTGCACACCACCAGATCTCGAAACCCTTCACACCATGTCATGTCCAGGGTTTCGAGGAGGAGGCAGTGATTGAATATGGTTTGGAGGTATTCTTCAATGATGTTAACTCTGGTGAGAGTAAGAGTTGTGAGGAGGGACAGACCTTTGCCAAGAGGCGGGAGCGTGAAGACGCAGAAAGTGAGCTTCAACACTTTGAGGGTCTCCACATCCAAAACCCTCGAAGGGACGAAGTAATCAGGAAAACGTTCGATTGCGAAAACCTCCAAATCGAGCTCTTCGACGCCTTTCTCTTTGCACTTGGAAACCCATTTCTTCAAGGCGATCCGCGCGACATAGTCATGGTCGGGATCGATGTAGATGTGGAAGCTCTTGATTTCGGGTCCCTTGTGGAACCTAAAAACACGGTCCACTGTGTCGGCGAACTCCATTGGTTCAAGTCTAAACTCCTTGACGAACTCCCTCCCGAAGTGGAGTCTCCGAGCAAAGCGCCACGAGTCTTTGAATCTCGTCGCCAAGCCGCGGGCCTTGATACACTTATCGACGGGGAGGAGAGTAAGAATGTGATGAACAACGTCGTGGTTCAGTTCTACAGAACCAACACGCCCGACGGCGTTTTTGTTGCTGCTGGAGCCAGAGCCGGAGCTGACTCCGGCCACAGGATTCGAATCGGAGTTGTTGCTTCTCCTAAGTCTTTTGAGAGGTGGGAGAGGGGGGCCATAGACAACTTTTTGCCTTTTGATGATGTTTGCTTGGTTGGACATTTTTTTTGGAACACGATGAGTGAGAGAGCAATTAGCAGCTTCAGGAAGGAAGGTGAAATCAAAATCCAATGGCTGTGAAATATATAGGGAGAGAGAGAGAGTGAGGAGAGAGAGAGAGGTTCACTGTGTTTGGGCAGGTAATGTTAGGGTGGCGAGTGAAGAATCAGCTTTCGCTGGTTTTCCCTTTCCTGCCATTTCTCTCCTCACTTGGAACGTAACGGAAGAAAATACCAGCGGAAAAGGTAAAGTGGTAATTTGCTGACCTGGTGAAACGTGCAGGGTTTGGAGACCAGGTTGTTTTGTGGACCCCACATTTTTTAGATCTTTTGTGTTCCCGGTAGCCGGTGAGGCTGTGTCTGTGTACTGAACCGGAAACACCCCGGTTAAGGTTGCCCTAGCAATGGACGGCGAAAAGTCCAATTTGCCCTTGGATTTAAACACTCTGCTTTTAATGACTCTTATCCGAACTAATCTGGGTGCTTAACGAAGACTTGACAAGTGGAAATCATGCCTTATTTTCGTATTTGTCCGTACTTCCGGTGGGTCCCATTGTTATTACTTTGAAATTTCTCCAAAAATGGTTTCTAATTAACTCCTTGTGGATATTATTTTCGAAAATTTAATCCCTAATTAAAAATTAACTCCCCTTTGAAAACATAACTGGCCCTTCCATATTGGCATTTCAATTGAAAATAATTTTCTAGTCACGTGCTTGTTTATGAGACAATGTGCATCGAATACAAGTTGTCATATGTCGAATCTTGTCCTAGAAGTTGTTAGCAAGAAAGTGATGTTCGATATGCATTGTATCCAGTGACCAGTAAATCATTAATCATATTACCAACTAGGTCATTCAGATATGTATTACAAGTCATTAGTAACAAGGTCTCTTTTGTGAGGTACATAATTTTTCAACGGCTAGTAAATAATTTGATTAAGCCATCAGTAAATATCGAGTTGAAAAATAGCATAAAAATATTAGTACGCAACATTTGAATATCGGCTGTTTATTATTGTGTTCTTAATAGAATAATTTAAAAGGAAAACTAATGAAAAAGGCTTGAAAACTTTGAGTTTTAATGATAAGGACAAAATAAAGGGTAAAGTGAATAGTACCAGGATTGACTTTTTAGTGTAAAAATGTGGTTTTTCATTAAAGTGAACAATACCGGGTGCTTTTCGTTAAAGTTCTCTAATTTAAAAGAATGGTGTTTTTCATTTTTGTAGAAAGCTCCCTATTAAGGAATCTATTTTTAAAATGACTGAAACCGTTTTTTTTTTAAATGTTTTAAATTCTAAAAGCACTTGAAATGTTTTCTGCAAGACGTGTATGTGTATTAATAATTAGTTTTAAAAATATTTTTACCAAAAACGCTTTAAAGCACTTTCAGATAAGCCCAAAGTGGCACTTAATGTCTAACAAATTCTCATTGAATTGAATTGCATCTTAAAAGCTTGTTTGGCTCTTGTGAAACTACCACCACTGCAAAGAAAAAAAAAAGAGCTTTTGTAACCGACTCGTCGTTTCCCATATAGCCATCAAAACTGAGCTCAAATATTTGGGTTTTACATGTCTTGATGCATGAAGGCATTTGCTATTTGACTGATATTGTTATGATCTTGTAATTCAATTAATGTACAACGATTAGACAAATGATGTGCGTCTCAATCCATCTTTAGATGTAACGGAAGCTCGCAGGGCTGTTTTGACTAGGGATGCTGGTCGAGGTTGTGGCTGTTATAATCATCGGCGTCCATTGCAGCATCATTCTCCACCATTGAAGCAACAGAGAAACTCCACACAGAAGCGCAGTTTTCGTCACCTGCATATCCCAGGACAATTAACCTTCGATTAGTACAATGAGTCAATGACATGTTCTTATGTTATCCAGTGAAATTATGCATGTAGCTCAGATTAGAACGCAGATAAACCGGCTTAGTTGCTATCATGTAGCTTCATGTCATCTAAAGGGACTGAGACGACTGGGGCATTCTCTAACACCTGGGTGAGTACAACGGAAAAAGGGCAAGTAGCAATTCAGATATCGCAGCACCCCACATTCATCTAAAAGTCTTTGCTACTAAAACCAGCAGGCCTGTAAATAATGAAAAACCCGACTTATCCAACATGAAAACAAAGGTGCCCATTTACCCAGCCGTAAATGGAGATAATGACATCAGTTCATATTTAAGCTTTAAGAAATGACCTAGGTGGCACTTTTTACCTTTTGAACCAGAATAACACCAAACTAACTCCTAAGTGATGATTAATCACTCGGTCGTTTTCACAATGCAGATTGGGAAAAAAAGAGCGGAGAAAATGACAAACAAACAGAACAAACATGATTAGCATAGGAGACTAAAATTGGAAGGATATACAATGTAATTTGTCAAAAGTATCTCTAAAAAAGGAAATTTGTTTTCAGCATTAGGGTTATAGGAGGTACCACTCAGATGCAATTCCTCATTGCCATCATCAGGACCAACAAATCTTCGATGCCCTGAAGAAGTGGTGGCCAATGGCAGAAAGGGATGAAAGGAGAATCCGTTAACGGTATCTGCGTGGTGTACAGAACAGAATAATGAGTCAGCAAAAGAAGAGAGTAAGTTATATTGCAGTAGCACTTTAACATATTTATAGGATATGAAATGAATTACCCAATGCCGCTTGGAAGCCTGTTACCCATTGTCCAGTTTGCAGATCATAGATATGCACAACACCATCCTGAAACGGATATGCATTATTAAACAAGTGATTTATCAGATCCAACATGGGGTTTGGAATTTTGACTTGGTCTGTGGCATCATATTTGGACATTTAAACATAATTTAAAGCTATGCTACCTGACCGCCTGTACAAAGATGGCGTCCAAGTGGCTCAATATCAAACAAAATCCGCTGGTTGGTATCTTCCGATGACCTATACAACCTGACTCCACGTTGCAAGTAAAACAATGTGAGCAAAAAAGGCCTCTAACGTACAAAAGACTAGATAGCTTTCTAAATTAGAAAAGGAAAGAAAAAATATCTTACTTATACACAACATCAACCGCTTTGCGTATATCCCAGCATAATATATAAGGATCCTTCAAGCAAATTTATGTAAGCTAAAGTCAATCACATTTAGAATTGAAAGCAAGATAACAAATGCTAATATACTAATACATACGTAAATAAATTTCCAAGTACAAGATAAAGCATGTAAGTCACATTATAAACTGACAGTTTTTACATAGAACTGGTTTACTGTATATCCAACAAAATAACTGCACTCCCGAAAAATTAAAAGACAAACTAAAAACGATGGAGCATGTAAAACATTTTACCTTTCGGCCTCCAGTATATAAATAATTTCCATCTTTTGAAAACTGGACCTGAAAGCAAAAGCTTTGGTTCATCTGTTGAAGTTATGATAAAAGATAAATGAACAATAAGGAACGATGACTTACATGTGTAATCCCACCTTCATGACCATGCAATACATACAAGGGTTCCATATTATCTTCCCTATATATTGCAGCAGTCTTGCTATAAGAACCTATAGCTAGCATTCCACTATGGGTTGGACAAAATGCCATTGCAGACATTATACCTGTCCACAACAGAAATGCTGAGAAATGTGCACTTGCACAGATTCTTAATTTATCATCAGAATTTAGAGATAAAAAATGATAACATGTACCTGTTTGTCCTTCTTTGTTTCCTTGAAGTGTAGAATATTGTTCAAAATCCCTACCAGGGCGATGTAAATCAAACACCCGAACAGATTTGTTGTATCCAGCAAAAATCCTACGAAACAATTGAAGAGTACATAACAATGACGTAGAAAACATGCAACTGAATTATATAACCCTTGAAAAGGAAAGGAAAAGAATATTGCTTACTTTGTTCCAGTAGGATTAAAGGCAATTGAAAAAGCAGCTGTGATTTCATCCACAGCATCATAAGCACGATAAGTGCAACGTAGCTGCAATTTCAGCCCAAAACAATGGTGGTAATGCGATATACAAACATTAACCCAAAAAATACATATCAGAACTGTGTATACAAGGGAAAAGAGTGAACCAAACACGGAATGCCAAATTGGGTATGTTACAATGCCGTATTAAGCAGTTAGCTATACCAAAAGATTTTTCTATTTACACACCAGACACATTTACATCAATATGGAAAAGATTGTACAAGAATTTATTATTACAGTTCTTATTGCGTTTTGAGATTATTTGATGATTTATGGACTTAGAACTTTGGTATATGGATTAGATTTATTGATGGTTTTGATTTCAAAGAGGCTGGTCTTTGGTGGAGGCTACACTTTTATTGATGGTTTTGATTTCAAAGAGGCTGGTCTTTGGTGGAGGCTACGCTTTGGCAGAGAAAAAGATGACGGAACTATCCACGCTGCCAGTTGTGGGAAGACGGTGGGGCGGCGGTGATGGTGGGTGTGGGTGTGGGTATGGGTGTGGTAATATCTGTTTAGGGGCAATGTGGGAAGATAGGTGGGGTGTCCTTAGAAAATGTAAAGTTTTTAATTTAAAGTGTGGTGCAGATACAAGTGCGATGGACATAGATAACATGTGGCGTTTAAATAGAAAAACTTGTACAAAAATACTAATTTTATTAGCATAATGAAGATTGCAATAATGAGCCAGCACCTGTCCAGAAGAAGCATCCCAAAGATGAATTGGATGGTCACGAGATGTAGTTGCAAAAACACAGGTAACCGGGTCTGCAACGTCATAAAAAATTCCAAGTCAAGCTTTTACTTACAGAATCATATCAGCCACTCTAAAGTAAATATCTTGGATATCAAGTTGAGATTCTCATCATCACAATAACGAATAAACTTAACAAATTGGCCCGCCATTAGAAGAGTTACAGAAGTACCTGCAGCAGACATGTACGGGTACCAACAGAAGTCGTATACAGACTCTCCCTCATTCACAACAAGGTTTGCAGCATACGAATCTGCAGCTCAAGAGTACAAAAACAAAAAGACTAAAAAGATGACTACACTTCCATGCAAATACAAAACCAATCAAACCTAGCTCACCCGAAAATTTTCGTTCTCAAACAATACCAAACAAAAACTTTCAGGTACAAATCTTCTTCTGGCAAATTAACATACAATAAATAAACTCCAAAGCAAATATATTTCCGGACGAAGAACTTACCTTCATCAGCAGCTACAGAACACCCATTTGCATTCTCACTCCCATAATCTGGCCTGATAAAACCCAAACAAGAGTAGAGTTAGCAAACACCACGGGTAGCGATTTTTGAAAAGGTTGGTTGTTGAAATGCATTTTGAGTACTGAAGGCAAGTAACAAAATCCCCAAATTGTAACCCAAATCAAAAGGCAATGCTTCCACACCAACAAGAATAAAAAGGCCATCAAATAATCGAAACTTACAATGCAAAAACCCGAAGCGTGTTGTCCTCGGAACTGGTAAGAAAGCACGATCCATCCGGCGACCTACGCCAAAAAAATCAAACCCCATATATAAAAAGACACAATTTTTATGAAAAAAAATGATGGGATAGTAAGGCGGAAGCAAAAGGAAAGTACCATTTGACGCCCTTGAGAAAGTTGTTGGGGGTCGGGGAAGTTCGGAACTGGCGGCGGAAGTGGAAGGCTCTCTGCGGATGGACATCGAACCGAATCGCCGGCCAAGAGTATTCTTGCTGTTGCTGGGTTGGGTTATCTGTAATCTCTGCGTCTGGGGAAGGCGAATTGGGTTGCTGCTGCTGCTGCTGCTGCGGCTCTTCTTCTTCGCCCATTGAGGCTTGCTGATCAGCCATGACTTCTCTGAGAGTGTACTGGGTATTACCGCCAAAAATAGGGTATGCTGCTTCAGTTTACCTTGAATTCTTTCTGAAATTTTATGGGCCAAAGTGTAAATATGTATCTTTCTCGGGTAAATTACAAGGACCGAAGTGATACATACAGCATAGATTTTGGGCATCAATAAGATATAGAAAGTATTAAGTAACGTAAATAACCAATACTTCATCAACGATAAACAACTGAGTCGTTGTAGTATAGTGGTAAGTATTCCCGCCTGTCACGCGGGTGACCCGGGTTCGATCCCCGGCAACGGCGTTTCTTTTTGCACTTATATTTTGGCTTTTGATTTTGATCACTGTCGGCCTGTCACCTGCCACCGTCAGTCACTGCACTTTGAAAGCCGAAAACAAAAAATCCCGCCCTCTCTCTCTCTCTCTCTCTCTCTCTCTCTCAGCACTGCTTCAGTTCAGTCGCCATCTCCCGCTTTCATACGCCCCCACGCCCCCCTTTTTGCTCCCATTCATTCCGGTACCAGCAGCAGGGTTTTAGCTTTTAGGGTTTTGCAAAGCTCTGCGCTTGCAGATTTCGCCATGGAAACGGACGAAGCCCAGCGAGTTCTTCCCTTTCAGCTCCAGTTCGACAAGCCACTCGCGTCTCAGGTTTCTTCTCACATCACAGCTTCCACAATCAAATCCCCCAAAACATTAACCTTTTTTTTTAATTAAAGAAAAAAAAAAAGATCTTTGAAACTTTGAATTCTCAACACTTTGCAGATTAAAATTGCAGAATGGAACCCTGAGAAGGATTTGCTGGCGATGGTCACCGAAGACTCCAAGATTTTGCTGCACCGTTTCAATTGGCAGAGGCTCTGGACAATCTCTCCCGGTATATCTTTCGTTCTCTCTCTCTTGGTGGTTACTGTGTTGTTGTGAGTTAAAGTTTTGAATTTTTTTGGTTTAGCAAGGAGCATATCGTCGTTGTGTTGGCGTCCCGATGGAAAAGCAATTGCTGTTGGGCTTGAAGATGGAACAGTTTCATTGCATGATGTTGAAGTGAGTAAAGTGTTGATTTTTCAGTTAAAAACATACTCTTGGTACTGATTAGTCAGTAAAGTTGCAAACTTGTCATTGTGAACTGATGACTTGCGTAAATTTGTGATATTGTTATACAAACGACATATATGAATACAAGGTTAAAGCTTATCATATGAATGTGGACTTATGGTTTTCTACATTTATGCTTTCTAAATCCTTTTTATTTCTTTGATGCGAGGCAGAATGGAAAGTTGTTGAGAAGCTTAAAATCACATTCCGTTGCTGTTGTTTCACTTAACTGGGAGGAGGATGGACACACGACTAGAGTATGTTTTCATCGATCCAATTGTAGGCTATGCACCAATTTGATTTTAATGGATGAAATCAGTTGGTTTTTCTTTACTTGAGCTTTTTCTGGGGTTAAATCTCTGCCACATATATATCCGCTTCTTACAAAACTTTTGCCTTGATGTTTTACTACGTTCCTATTCACTTGCCAGTTGTTTTGAACTTCTGAAATTTCATTATGCTTTGGTACATTGAATTTAGAGTTCAATTACAAACAAGAATACCTTATTTATGTATTAGAGATAACATGGTTAAGCTATTATATTACTAATCTCCCTTTTTCAAATATTGATTATAGGATGAGCACGGCAGTATATCAACATATGAAGACCGTACTTCTCGTTTCTTCCCACCTCCTCCAAGAGTTCCGCGGATGCCTGGACTGGTATCTGGAGATACTGGTTTCATAGATGATAGTGAAGATTCATTTCAAGAGCTGTCAAATTCTTCACAGCAACGTTTTAACATCCTGTGTAGTGGAGACAAAGATGGAGTCATTTGCTTTAGTATATTTGGGATTTTTCCAATAGGGAAAATTGTAAGTAGTAACTTCTGAACCATTGTCATAAAGTGTTGGGGTTGATGATGCTTAGTTATGTGAAACTTACTTTAATTTATGTTTGATGTGTCATGTGACTGCCTCTGGATATGTGCCAGAACATACACAATTTTTGTGTTCCTAATCCACTTACGGATGCAAAAGCTGAGTGCAGACTTCTTAATGCTTCTGTTTGCAAGGTAAATTCATCTTTAGTATGGACAATCTCAAAGTTATAGGATTATATCTGACAATATTATTTTCATGATTACTGGATTTTCCGTTTATTCACAGCTTATATTAAATTTACTAGATCAAGCTGATATTCTTACATGTTGTTATTAGGTTGCTTTGTCGAAAGATCTTTGTCATTTGATAGTCACATGTTCAGGAGAATTGACTGATGATAGGGAGGAATCAGAAAGCAGACGAGTGACTCAACATGGTATTCATGGCTTACACTGCATGGTGCTTGATACATCTATATTTTGGAAGAGGTGACTTTCCTTGTAGAACCCAGTATACGACAGGTTGTTTAATATGTATAGGAAGTTGTGCTGCCATATTGGTTATAGTATATGAGTCTTTACCATCTTTTTCTCTTGTTTTCTTGTTCAATGTTTCAATCTCATCGATATGCTCTACATGTAAAATTTTGGGCTCTGACATCAGTTTAGATGTGGATGATACAGTCATGTTATGTACTGCTTCCTTGTTTAAATATCTTTTCTACTCGTATATTGATATCCCCTTGTCAATTTAAAATATGCTTATGACTGTAAAACTCCGCCGTGTAAGTTTATCTTACATTGCCGGTCCCAAGCCCGGATAAAGGAGGAGGGGGAGGGCGTCAGGTAGTCGACAGCCGGCACTCCATGATCACGTCGAATCCTTATGAAAATGAATCCAGAACGAAATCGCGCTAAAGCTAGGGCGTCACCCGTAAGTGGCGCGCTGTGTGGCCTGAGCACAGTGATAAGTGAGCAAGGGTCGCTGTATCTCCATCGGCACCCGGATGCAATGTTAAATGAGCAAGGGGGCTATAGAAACTTCTTTTCGAACAACTCCACTCAAAGTTGTTTGGGAGCATATGCTCCTATCAACTTTACACGGGACACACAAAAGAAGTACTTTGATCCTATTAGACGGGGAAGGGTGAAGAAGCTAGGACAGAAGGGTAGAGTTCAAGAGAGCAAAATGCGTTTAGGAACGTGGAATATAGGAACCTTGACGGGAAAATCTATGGAAGTAGTAGAAGTTATGGTGAGGAGAAGGATAAATATTATGTGCCTACAAGAAACTAAGTGGGTTGGTCGTAAGGCAAAGGATCTAGAAAACTCAGGGTTTAAACTATGGTATTCGGGCACAAATAGAACGAGAAACGGTGTTGGCATCATCGTGGACAAGACCTTGACACAAGATGTTGTAGATGTCAAGAGGGTAGGAGATAGAATCATGGCAATCAAGATTGTAATAGGACAAGAACTTATCAATGTGATTAGTGTGTACGCACCTCAAGTAGGGTTGGATACGAGTTCGAAGGAGAAATTTTGGGAAGACCTTGGAGACTTGGTGCAAGGAATTGCTCAGACAGAGAAGTTATTTATAGGAGGAGATTTAAATGGACACGTGGGCAGGGAGACAGGCAACTATGGAGGTTTTCATGGTGGCCATGGTTTTGGGGAGAGAAACGAGGATGGGGAAGCTATCTTGGATTTTGCAATGGCATATGATCTCTTCTTAGCCAACACCTTCTTTAAGAAGAGAGAAGAACATGTGATCACCTACAAGAGTGGGTCGTCAAAAACACAAATAGATTTTCTTCTAATGAGGAAAGGGGATCGTATAACTTGTAAGGATTGCAAAGTTATACCAGGAGAGAGCGTGGCTAATCAACATCGCTTGTTGGTGATGGATGTACATATCAAAAGAGTGAGAAAAAAGAACAAGACTTGGAAGTGCCCAAGGACTAGATGGTGGAATCTAAAAGAAGAAAAACAAGCCATTTTCAAAGAGAAAGTAATCACCCAGTGTGTGTGGGATAGAGAGGGGGAAGCTAACCAAATGTGGGATTCCATGGCTAGTTGTATCCGAAAAGTAGCAAAAGAGGTATTAGGAGAGTCCAAGGGCTTTGCCCCACACCAAAAGGAATCTTGGTGGTGGAATGAGGAGGTACAAGCAAAGGTGAAGGCTAAGAAGGAATGTTGTAAAGCCTTATACAAGGATAGGACCGATGAAAATGGTGAAAGGTATAGAAAAGCGAAGCAAGAGGCGAAGAAAGCTGTGAGAGAAGCTAAGTTAGCGGCTTATGACGATATGTATAAGCGACTAGATACCAAAGAAGGAAAGTTGGATATCTATAACTAGCTAGAGCAAGGGACAAGAAGACAAGGGACCTAAACCAAGTGAGGTGCATCAAGGATGAGGATGGAAAGGTTCTTGTTACAGAGAACGCGGTTAAAGACAGATGGAAAGGTTATTTTCATAATCTTTTCAATGAAGGACATGAAAGGAGTGCTTCTTTAGGGGAGTTGAGTAACTCAGAAGAGTGTAGAAACTACTCTTTTTATCGTAGAATCCGGAAGGAAGAAGTGGGTGTAGCTTTGAAGAAGATGAAGCATAGAAAAGCAGTAGGCCCAGACAATATACCAATCGAAGTGTGGAAAGTTTTGGGAGAGACAGGTATAACATGGCTCACTAACCTTTTCAATAGGATTTTGAAAACGAAGAAGATGCCGAATGAGTGGCGAATGAGCACTTTGGTGCCTATCTACAAGAATAAGGGCGATGTACAAAATTGCATGAACTATAGGGGTATTAAGCTAATGAGTCATACAATGAAGCTCTGGGAGAGAGTCATTGAGCATAGATTGAGGCAAGAGACACGGGTTTCGGACAACCAATTCGGGTTCATGCCAGGGCGCTCAACCATAGAGGCAATCTATCTCTTACGAAGATTGATGGAAAGATATAGAGATGGGAAAAAGGATTTACACATGGTCTTTATAGATTTGGAAAAAGCGTATGATAGGGTCCCAAGAGACATTCTTTGGAGGATTTTAGAGAAGAAAGGAGTACGAGTAGCATATATCCAAGCTATACAGGATATGTATGAAGGAGCAAAGACTGCCGTAAGAACTCATGAAGGACAAACCGAAAGCTTTCCCATAACTGTAGGATTACATCAAGGCTCATCCTTAAGTCCTTACCTTTTTGCGTTGGTAATGGATGAGTTAACAGGACATATTCAAGGTGATATTCCTTGGTGTATGCTTTTCGCAGACGATATAGTGTTGATAGATGAAACTCAGGAAGGGGTAAATGCAAAGCTTAACCTTTGGAGAGAAGTGTTGGAATCTAAAGGTCTTCGCCTAAGCCGATCAAAGACAGAATATATGGAGTGCAAGTTCAGTGCAAATGGAGGCCAAAACGAGTTAGGGGTGAGGATCGGAGATCAAGAAATACCAAAGAGCGACCGTTTTCGTTACCTAGGATCTATCTTGCAAAAGAACGGAGAATTAGATGGAGATCTCAACCATAGAATACAAGCTGGATGGATGAAGTGGAAGAGTGCATCCGGCGTGTTGTGTGATCGCCGTATGCCACTGAAGCTCAAGGAAAAATTTTATAGGACGGCAATAAGGCCGGCGATGCTGTATGGCACAGAATGTTGGGCGGTGAAGCATCAACACGTACACAAAATGGGTGTAGCGGAGATGAGGATGCTTCGTTGGATGTGTGGGCACACGAGAAAGGATAAGATTAGGAATAAGGATTTCCAGGGTAAAGTAGGAGTAGCCGAAATTGAAGGAAAGATGAGAGAAAATCGGTTACGGTGGTTTGGACATGTGCAAAGAAGGCATACTGACGCTCCGATTAGAAGATGCGACTATGGAACAGAGGTTTAGGGCCGAAGGGGCAGAGGAAGACCTAGGAAAACTTTGGAAGAGACCCTAAGAAAAGACTTAGAGTACTTGGATCTAACGGAGGACATGACACAGGACAGAACACAATGGCGTTCTAAGATTCATAGCCGATCCCACTCAGTGACTTGGATTTTCCAAGTCTCCAACCAAGAAGTTTTCCTCACTCGGGAAATTAAGGGAACACTACCTCAACCTATATGCTCCACTCACAAAGCTTCAACATACAAGCTTCAACAAAAGAAAATTCAAAGAACTTAGCGAAGAAGGCTTTGGTGTATTTAACACAATACGTTGAAATGAAGGAAAGCTTATTTATTGATATCCCCGATAAGTTACAAATATGTACATATACTTGAGTCAAAATAAACAAACAAGAGGGAGCCTTCACAAAGGTTGCTTAGGAGAAGTCTCAGCAGTCGGTAGAGCCCCAGAAAGAGAAGGCACCGGAGGAGGATCATTCGGAGCCTCAGTACTGGACAAAACCCTAGAAGGAGGAGGCATCAGAGGTTGATCATTTGGAGCTTCATTACGCGGTACAGCCCCAGAAGACGAAGGCAATAAATGCCTTTGGAACAAACCCACAAATCTCTGATGATCAAGTAAAACCTGACCATCAGATTCCTTCATCTGGTCAAGCTTCCTCTTCATGTTTGTAGCATAGTCATGTGCGAGCCGGTGCAACTGTTTATTCTCATGCTTGAGCCCTCTAATCTCCTGTTTGAGACTCATCACTTCAGCCGCCAATGATTCAACTTGGCGGGTTCGAGCAAATAGGCGTTGGGCCATATTAGACACAGAACCTGCACACTGAACACTGAGAGCCAGAGAATCCTTAACAGCCAACTCATCAGACCGTTTGGAAAGTAGTCTGTTATCTTTGGGAGTGAGAAGGTTCCTGGCCACTACCGCAGCGGTCATATCATTCTTCATCACGGAATCCCCAACGGTAAGAGGACCAGTAGGGGAGACGAAGGATGGGCGCCATATGTTGTCTGGAGAAGGCAGGGCTGCCTCTTCAACAAGGTTCAAGTCAAAACGACGGTCGGAGGGGCCAGACATTTTCAAAGGTGTTGACGAGAGAAGAGGTCGGACAAATCAAGATCTTAGAAGTGCAAGAATGGAGCTTCTACTGGTGGATATTCAAGTGTGCTTTGGAACTTAATGTCAGCCCCTATAAAAATCTGCACTCGACGAAGCTTCAGAAATCGAAAAGGCGCCTGCTCAGAAATCGAAGAGGTGTTTGCTTTCTCAAAAGCTGGGCTGCTCAGAGACCACGAGGGTCGATCTCAGAAATCGAAGAGGCGTTTGCTTTCTCAAAAGTTGGGCTGCTCAAAGACCATGAAGGCCGATCTCAGAAATCGAAGAGGCTTGCTTTCTCAAAAGCTGGGATGCTCAGAGACCACGAGGGCCGATCTCAGAAATCGAAGAGGCACCTACTTTTCCAGCCTTGTCAGCACCTGTCACACGCACACTCAGCTTTGCGGAAATTATGGGCATTCTGTCGAAGATTTCTGACGAAGTAGAAAGCACATGAATCGTACTGTTCAATCACCCACTTCCCACACGCAACAGTAGCTCATGGGTACCACAGATAACTTTGCCAAAGTTCTCTGACAAAGTTGAGACACGTGAAGCTTGCAGCTCCCACTACATCGCTCTGACCAAGAAGGGTAAAAGAATTGCAAAAAAACAACACTAACAAAGTTTAAACACATAAATTTTGAAGGTCTAGCTACCATATTATTACCCACAAGGGTAAAGGAACAGTACCACTGCTGGATAATTGGAAAGTCCCGGTGTGTCAACCTCTGTGCTTCGTGGCAAGGTAGACTAGCAAACATGCCCAACCTGTACTCACATTCGAGAAAACACTCCCAACAAGATTGCTTGCTCCAAAATTGAAGAGGCACCGCCCTCCGAATCTCGAGAGCCAGACTTCCAACATGATTACTTTCTCAAAAATCGAAGAGAGGGTAAAGGAACAGTACCACTGCTGGATAATTGGAAAGTCCCTGTGTGTCAACCTCTGTGCTTCGTGGCAAGGTAGACTAGCAAACACGCCCAACCTTTACTCACATTCGAGAAAACACTCCCAACAAGATTGCTTGCTCCAAAATCGAAGAGGCACCGCCCTCCGAATCTCGAGAGCCAGACTCTCAACATGATTACTTTCTCAAAAATCGAAGAGACACCGCTCTCCGAATCTCGAGAGCCAGACCCCCAGCAAGATTGCTTTCTCAAAAATCGAAGAGGCATCGTTCTCCGAATCTCGAGAGCCAGATCCCCGACAAGATTGCTTGTTCGAAAATCGAAGAGGCACCACTTTCCCAACTTCAAGAGCTGGATCTCCTTGGATAAAGCTTGTCTGTAATCTTCACACGCAACATCAGCTTTCCAGATACCACAGACCACTTTTTCAAAGTGCTCTGACAGAGTTAAAACATGTGAAGCTGGCAGCTCCCACTACCGTGCTATAACCAAGCAGGGTAAAGGAATAGCATTATTACTTGATGTTAGGGAGACTCCTATATATGTCGACCTCCATCCCTAACGGACAGGCAGAGCTGCAAAAATGCTCAACCCTTTCTCTTATCTGAGAGGGCATTCCCAACGAAGCCTTTCGAAATATTCAGCTTTCTTTCCCCCCGATAATACCTTTGTAAACAAGCTATACTAGAGCAAGAATATCTCATATCATCAGGGTTAAAAGCAAGAGTATCCCATATCATGCTTTTTCCCTGTCTTTTCCTTTGGCCTTGTTCTTACCTGCAAGACAAGGAGAAAGAGAGCAATCAGTCAGCACTTGGAATCAAGCTTCCAGCCAGGAACTGACTGCCTGGAACCCCTTACCTGATTACTTACCTGGCATTGCTCTCGAGTACTCATCTTCAACATCTTATGCTTCCAGGGAAGATACCGCATTTGCCTGAGGAACAAATAGGGCAAGTGAGAAGGATACAAGGAAGCATGTGGAGACAAGCGTAACAGCACACGTGCCGATACATCCACTACTCTGTCAAAAGCAAAAGTATCCCATATCAGCAGGGTCGAACGTACTCTAGATTTGATGGACTTGTTTTGACCCTCAAATTCTTCAGTCGGCCTTATACTCTGGAGGAAACCAGAAAACCCTCCAGCCCAGTTCAAGAATAAGCCTGTGGAAAGTTACTTCTTCAAAAGCAAAAGTATCCCATATCATCTCTCCTCATTTTTCTTCTCTTTATCCTTCATGCTGCCTGCAAGATAGGGAGAATGTGAACAATCAGCCGGAGCTCTGATTGCTTACCTTGTCTGTCACCTCTTTCAGCAGATCCCCTAGCTCGGCGACTTGGGGAACTCCTACTACATGGTTTGTATCGCGCTTGACCAAGCATGAAACTACAAGTAAGCTTCAAGTGAAATTGATACATTACCTTGTGCATCTCCACCAGTTACAGATACCACCCCTGGATGGAGGAAGAGTACTTCCAGAGAAGATGCCACATCTACCTATGAGACAGATAAGGCAAGTCAAGACGATACCACACTCCGGTACTTAGAAGTTTCGTGGCTACGAGATCATTCTCCCACAATATTTCCTAATGTCATTTGTACTAAATCATTCACTTGTACTCACTAAAGGAGAGCTTGAACCTATGTACTTGTGTAAACCCTTCGCAATTAATGAGAAACTCTTCTCTATTCCGTGGACGTAGCCAATCTGGGTGAACCACGTACATCTTGTGTTTGCTTTTGTGTAAACCCTTCACAATTAATGAGAACTCCTCTATTCCGTGGACGTAGCCAATCTGGGTGAACCACGTACATCTTGTGTTTGCTTTCCTATCTCTATCCATTTATATACTTATCTACACTAATGACCGGAGCAATCTAGCGAAGATCACAAAAAGTGACCGTTTTCGCTACCTAGGATCTATCTTGCAAGAGAACGGAGAATTAGATGGAGATCTCAACCATAGAATACAAGCTGGATGGATGAAGTGTAAGAGTGCATCCGGCGTGTTGTGTGACCGTCGTAGGCCACTGAAGCTCAAGGGAAAATTTTATAGGACGGCAATAAGGCCAGCGATGTTGTATGGCACAGAATGTTGGGCAGTGAAGCATCAACGTACACAAAATGGGTGTAGCGGAGATGAGGATGCTTCGTGGGATGTATGGGCGCACGAGAAAGGATAAGATTGGGAATGAGGTTATCCGAGGTAAAGTAGGAGTAGCCAAAATTGAAGGAAATATGAGAGAAAATCGGTTCCGGTGGTTTGGACATGTGCAAAGAAGGCCTACTGACGCTCCGGTTCGAAAATGTGACTACGGGACAGAGGTTCAGGGCCGAAGGGGTAGAGGAAGACCTAGGAAAACTTTGGAAGAGACCCTAAGAAAAGACTTGAGTACTTGGATCTAACGGAGGACATGACACAAAACCGAGCGCAATGGCGTTCTAGGATTCATATAGCCGACCCCACTTAGTGGGAAAAGGCTTTGTTGTTGTTGTTGTTGTTGTTGTTGTTATGACTGTAATTCTCATTGTAGGAAAAATGAGCTTCACCAAGTGGCTCAACAAGCGTCTAACATTGAGGAATTGGTGGAGGTTATTCGGGCATCACTTTCAGTTATGCACAAGCAGTGGTCTGATGCTATGCACACTTTCCATGAAAAGTTTGATTCTCTATCTAATCTGATTGTTGACCATGGTAATTTCTGGATGCTGCGATGTCCCACTTTGTTGATGTAATTCTTGGTTATATGATTCTTCCATTCATACAGTTTGTACCATTTGTATACAGGACTTGACTCTTGTCCCCAGGAGGAGTTTTTGAGTCTTTTAGGTGGTGCAAGGACTAGTCCACCTGTTCATCAATTTCTTGTTAACTCTCTTGGTGAAGTGGTAAGCTTAGTGCTATGTAACATCCTATTTTAACATCGAGATTTAGTATCACACTGAGCAATGTGTATATGATGACATTGTGAATTCAACAAAGCTTTTTTACTCATAGGGCGTGAAGCGTGTGTCAAAGGCTGTTTGTGGTGCCGGAAAAGAACTCCAGCTTATTGTCCTAAATCATCTCCAGGTGCTAGTTAGCCCTTGCAGTGGATGCAATATTTTCTTGTTAGGAGCAACTGTTTTTTGTTGTACTTTCTCTGCGTATCATTTTTTACAAAAGGTTACATGATCTGTGATCAGTAACTATATCAGAATTCAGAATACAATGTTTCTAATAGATGGATATGGAACTGATAGGCAGAAAAAGGAAACGTCGATTACCATTGTGAAGTCTCAATTATATTTTTGTTGGTTACAAACGCCTAATATATGTGATCCTATTTTCTAATGTTCCTTCCATCAGAGGACTTGGGCAGAAACTAAACATGGTTTACCCTTTTTTAGCCTGCTGCAGAAATTATTGCATTCAGGATGGGAGAATTAAGAGGCCTTTCAAGATGGCGAGCACGATATCAGGGAATTGGTTTGGATGAGACACTCATCAATAATGCAACAGAAAAAGCTGGGATGATACTTTTACAAGTTGAACGATTTATCAGGGTGCTGTCAACTGTTGTGCAGCAGGTTTGCTTGAGGTTTATACTGTAATAAAAATGAAAGGGAGGACAGTTTCTTTCTTCATTACTAAATTATAATGTCTTTTCTTTCAGTTTTCAAATTTCTTCAACTGGCTCTTGAAATGTATAAAGTTACTTATGTCAGAACCAAGCGATCACCATCTTCTACTGTACAATAGGTATGTGTTACACTTTCCTCTGTGTTTTGTTTGCTACCAGCATATATCCTTTTACTCATACTTTAGGTTTTGGCAGTGAACTTGTCGTTATATTCTTGAAGTTTTTATATGACCAAGATCCTGTCAAGCAGTTGCTGGAAGCATCAGAAGCCGATCACCATATCGATATTGGTTTGTAAGTTATTTCTAAATCTTGTCTGCATTGCAAACAGTTTCGCAATTATTCTAATGTATCATGTATATCTTTTATGCATAATGGCTTCTCTGTAGCCGTCTATGTTGTATAGCTGGAGATGGCTTGATATCTAATATTCTTATTGCCTGCGGACCACATCCAAATTAATAACACCGTATGTTATGTACATGTCTTATGCATATATGTGCATGTGAAAACAATGGACGTGTGCTTGCATGTTGGCAATTATACAAGTATTTCAATTCTCTTTTTGTATCTCTAACCAAGATGAAGTTGTATTGTTTTCAGGGAAACAATGCAAAGAGTTAAAGAACTGGTTCAGTTTGGGGGATTTTCAGATTTTGGATATCTGCAAAGGACATTAGCAAAGGAATCCCAGCAGATGGAGTCTAGGTATGCAGATTTCCATGGCCCTCATCTATGAACATTGGAGCAAATGATACTATATCCCTCTGTAAATGCCAACACTTGGGTTCCTCAAAATGCTAATTTATGATGACAGAAATAATAAAAAGGAAAGTGAAATCCTGCTTGTTTAACTTAGCATTGAGTCACTAACAAAAACAGGCAAGGGTGCACTGCACACACACGGATATGAGCATGCATACATTGGTACTGCCTTTTCAATTTCAATTTACAGATGCCCCTTGGTCTTATAGTTTCAAGGAGGCTTTTCTGATGCCCTTTACAACAATATCAAGAAAGATACTGTGCAAGGATTTATTGCCGCTTTGCCCTCTTCCACCTTTGTCATCATCTTTGTCAACCACCATTCCTGTTTCAGTATCGTATTATGAGGTACTTATTGGTTTTGCAGTTCGGGAAGTTTTTAACTTGAATCCTGTGATTCAGTAAAATCAATTTGAATTCACTATCGATAACATCGGTTCTTTTATTCCTATTCTATAGGATGCCTCCCAATCGGTCTCTTCTTGTCAGAGTGAACACTTGTTTCTCGATTACATATCTTTCCAAATACCAGATGAGTCTCTCTCCGGAATTGCAAATTGTATAGGAATAGTGAAAGGGTTTATGCATGACTCGAGCAGTGTAAACAAGGGCTATACTTCATTAGAAGCTGTATTGTTGGGGGTCCCTGCTGGTTATTACTGCATGGATCTTTCCTTATATAAGGTAGAGACCTAAACTGATCATATACCGTCATTTTATTTTCCTTTTCTGGAATGTTTCATAAACTGCTTTTACTTCTAACAGGAAAGTCAGATTGTTTTGTTATTAAATGAAACAACCGCCGCTTCTGAAAGTTCTGGAGACGCCTCTATGATGATTGTGCAAACAGATGACCTTCCATTTGTATCGATCTCAAGATCCACAGGTCTAAACTATTGGACGTTGCATCAACTAAAGGTAATTCTGATCTTTGCTCCCTCGTGCATTCATTGTGTTATATTACTTAAAACGAAAAGATGCCATAACTCTAGATTTCTGTTCCCAAGTTGCTCTGCGGCATATATGATACTACTGCTCAAATGTGTATATTCAGGACTCTGTTGTTCACCTGGAAATGGAGAATGAGAAGGTGCGCAATATACCTCACTCCATCGTTGCACCCCTCGCAGTCAGCTGTAAGTTCTAAAAACTGTTTCTTACTTCAAATCAAACAAGTTCTATCACCCGTGTCTCGAATTATTCTCACTTCATCCTCGTAGTTTCAATTGAACATGAGAGTTCTTCATTTTTTTTTTCTTATGAAATTTCGGATGAATTTTACTGTAACAGCATCAAGAGGCGTGGCCTGTGTTTTCGCTGCAAGAAAACGTGCCTTGGTCTACATTCTGGATGAAGACGAAGATGAAGTCTCAGATGCAGAGTGACTGCATCTAATTTACTCCTAGAACAAATATGTGTTGCATACTCCGCCTCGGCGTGTATCATATTTTTGTTCTGGCCAAATAATATGTTCTGCATTTTGTTTCTTAGCATGTATCGTAATTTCGATCCTCTGTTGCAAAGTTCGACATTTTGTAAGTATGAGAGAGAGAAGTGAGAGAGAGAAGTGAAAAAGTACTAGCGTACGTATTTTAAAATTAACAAATTGTCGTTAAAGACTTGTAGCTCAATCAGTTATGATTGTTCATGTCTGTAACTAAGGTCCCGTGTTTGACGCTCAACCTAAACCATAAAAATAAGGTGATGTGTGCAACAAAAAAATAAAATTAATAAAGTGCATTTGACTTCTATTTTTAGGGGGGAATCGGTGGCAACCCCACTTCCAATCTTCCTTACCAACCCCAACTTCTCCTCCCTCTCTATTGTCGCTTTAGCTTATGTGTTTTCTCACTTCGGCCTTGGTTTTTTTATTTCCTTGAGCTTTGTCTCAATTTTCCGGTTCTTGTCTCAGATTTTAAACTTTCATGCCGCACTTTTGCCCAAATGTTGGTTTCCGTTGCGAGTCTTCAACCACCAACCTTTGCAACTCGGCCTAGGTGCCTCTCCTTGGCGACGCGCTTTGGTTTTGGGTAGTTATTAAAGTCTTATTAGCACTATCTGGTAGAACTATGGGAGCGCTTTTTGCGCGGGTGGCTTGCTCACCCTCCTTTTTGTTCATTCAGTCATTTCATGAGTTCTTCTTGGTGGTGATGGCGACTTTTTTATGGAAGCGCAGTTGTTCGGTGGAAGCAAATAGTATTCCAGATCTAGGTTTTCCTTGTTGTAAGCCGGCTACTTTTGGGCCTTTTCATCGTATTTTCTTTGTTGTAGCTTTACTTGTACTTGGTTACTTTGGACTGCCTTTTGTATCTTGTTGTAGCCTTTTTATTACGAGAACTTTAACGAAAAGCTCCCAGTATTGTTTACTTTAACGAAAAATCATATTTTTACACTAAAAAGTCAATCATGGTATTATTCACTTTACCCTTTATTTTGTCCTTATCATTAAAACTCAATATTTTCAAGCCCTTTTCATTAGTTTTCCATTTTATTAATAGAGTTTGTTGATGCACAAAATCAGCGAAGACTTTGGTACAACAGAAAGTGTCAGGTTTGTGACCTTCGCTTGGTTGCTTCGATCACTAGTGAAGATAAGTACGTAAATGAATAAGGACAGGGAAGCAAACACAAGATGTACGTGATTCACCCAGATCGGCTACGTCCACGGAGTAGAGGAGTTCTCATTAATTGTGAAGGGTTTACACAAATACATAGGTTCAAGCTCTCATTTGTGAGTTCTAGTGAATAGTTTAGTACAAAATGACATTAGAGATTATTGTGGGAGAATGATCCCTATTTATAGAGGAGAGTTTCTAGTTTTGTTCTAACATTGACATGTGTCGTATTGTGATTGTCTTCTGATGTTGACACGTGTCGAGCTGTGATTGGCTTCTGATGTCGACACGTGTCGCATTATGATTGGCCTCCTGGTTGAAGGGAAGCTCTTCTGGATCCTTGATGGTATAACGTTGACCGGTGCTCAGTAGTTTCGGGATTGGTCAAGTATGGTACAAACAGTGCTCCCCTAAGTTCCCGAGTGAGGGAAGCTCCTCGGTTGGGGACTTGCAAGATCCAAGCCATTGAGTAATCACGAAACTTCTAAGTACTGAAGTGTGGTATCATTTTCACGTGTCTTATCTGTCTCATATGTAGATGTGGCATCTTCTCTGGAAGTACTTTTCCTCCATCCATGGGTGGTATCTTTAATCGATGAAGATGCACAAGGTAATGTATCAATTTCGCTTGAAGCTTACTTGTAGTTTTGGGCTTGGTCAAGTGCGATACAAACCCTATAGTAGGAGTCCCCCAAGTCGCCGAGCTAGGAGATCTGCCGAAAGAGGTGACAGACAAGGTAAGCAGTCAAACTTCCAAACAAGCAACCCAGGATCGGAGGTTCGAGTTTGGCTTCCGGTTGATTGTTCTCCTTCTCATTGTCTCTCATTCAGCTGCCAGGATAAGGAGAAGCAAAAGGAGAAGAGATGATATGAGATACTTTTGCTTTTGAAGAAGTAACTTTCCACAGGCTTATTCTTGAACTGTGCTTGAGAGTTTTCTGGTTCCCTTCAGAGTATAAGGTCGACTCAAGAATTTGAGGGTCAAAACAAGTCCATCAAATCTAGAGTACATTCGACCTTGATGATATGAGATACTTTTGCTGTTGACGGAATAATGAATGTGGTATGGAAAGGTGTCGTGCTGTAGTGATCTGTTTCAGCTCACCGTTGAACCTTCTGCTTCAATCTTTTGCATGGCAGAAGTGGTGTGCAACCTTTGCATTTAAATGGTCCTTCAGAACATTCCTTCATAGTGACTCATCCACGCTTGGCAGCTTCAGTGTAAAGAGCCAATATCTGATCAACTGTCATGAGGTATGTGCCAGTGGAATTCATGACCTTGACAGCAGTTGAGGATGAGTTCTCGAGAGCAATGCTGAGTAAGCAACCAGGCAAAGGTCTCAGGCAGTCAGTTCCAGATTGGAGGTTTGATTTCAGGTTCCGACTGACTGCTTTCTTTCTCTTTGTCCTGCAGGTGTGGACAAGGACGAAGACAAGGACAGGGAGAAAGCATGATATGGGATACTCTTGCTTTCGACCCTGATGATATGAGATACTTTTGTTCTTGGTGTGGCTTATTTGCTGAGGTATTATCGGGGGGAAATAAAGCTGAGTATTTCGAGAGGTTATGTTGAGGGTGCACTCTCGAATGCGAGAAAGAGTTGAGCATTTTTGCAGGTTTGCCTGTCCGTTGAGGAGGGAGGTCAATGTATATAGGGATTTTCCAATAACAAGTAGTAATACTATTCCTTTACCCTTCTTGGTCACAGCAATGTAGTGGGAGCTGCCAGCTTCACGTGTTTTAATTTTGTCAGAGCACTTTGAAAAAGTGGTATGTGGTATCTAGAAAGCTGATGTTGCGTGTGAAGATTACAGACAAGCTTTATCTAAGGAAATCTGGCTCTCAAAGTTCTGAGAGCTGTGCCTCTTCGGTTTTCGAACAAGCAATCCCGTCAGGGATCTGGCTCTCGAGATTCGGAAAGCGGTGCCGCTTCGGTTTTTGAGAAAGTAATTATGTTGGGAGTCTTTTCTCGAATGTGAGTAAAGGTTGGACGTTCTTGCCAGCCTGTCTTGCCACAGAACACATAGGTCGACACACATAGGGACTTTCCAGTTGTCAAGCAGTGGTTCTGTTCCTTTACCCTTGTGGGTAATAGTAGGGTAGCTGGAACTTCGAAATTCTCGTGCCTAAACTTTGTCAGAGATCTTTGGCAAAGTTATATGTGGTACCCGAGGAGTTGATGGTGCGTGTGGATAGTGGTGATTGAACAGTAAGATTCACGTGTTTTCTACTTCACCAGAAATCTTCGACAGATTGCCCGTAATTTCTGCAAAGCTGAGTGTGCATGTGACAAGTGCTGACGAGGCTGAAAAAGCAGGTGCTTCTTCGATTTCTGAGATCGGCCATCGTGGTCTCTGAGCAGCTCAGCTTTCGAGAAAGCAAACGCCTCTTCGATTCCTGAAGCTCCGTCAAGTGCAGATTTTTATAGAGGTTGGCATTAAGTTCCACAGCACACTTGAATCTCCACCAGTAGAAGCTCCCTTCTTGCACTTCTAAGATCTTGATTTGTCTGACCTCTTCCCTCTTCAACACCTTTGAAAATGTCTGGCCCCTCCGACCGTCGTTTTGACTTGAACCTTGGAGAAGAGACAACCATGCCTTCTCCAGACAACATATGGCCCCCATCCTTCATATCCCCTACTGGTCCTCTTACCGTTGGGGATTCTGTGATGAAGAATGATATGACCGCTGCGGTGGTGGCCAGGAACCTTCTCACTCCCAAAGATAATAGACTACTTTCCAAACGGTCTGATGAGTTGGCTGTTAAGGATTCTCTGGCTCTTAGTGTTCAGTGTGCAGGTTCTGTGTCTAATATGGCCCAACGTCTATTTGCTAGAACCCGCCAAGTTGAATCATTGGCTGCTGAAGTGATGAGTCTCAAACAGGGATTAGAGGGCTCAAGCATGAGAATAAATAGTTGCACCGGCTCGCACATGACTATGCTACAAACATGAAGAGGAAACTTGACCAGATGAAGGAAGTTAATGGTCAGGTTTTACTTGATCATCAGCGGTTTGTGGGTTTGTTCCAAAGGCATTTATTGCCTTCGTCTTCTGGGGCTGTACCGCATAATGAAGCTCCAAATGATCAACCTCCAATGCCTCATCCTTCTGAGGTTCTTTCCAGTACTGAGGCTCCGGATAACCACCCTCCGGTGCTTTCTCTTTCTGGGGCTCTACCGACTGCTGAGACTTCCCCTAAGCAACATTCGTGAAGGCTCCATCTTGTTTGTTTATTTTGATTCATGTATATGTACATATTTGTAACTTATCGGGAATATCAATAAACAAGATTTGCTTCATTTCAACGTATTGTGTTAAATACACCAAGGCCTTCTTCACTAAGTTCTTTGAATTTTTCCTTTTGTTGAAGCTTGTATGATGAAACTTTGTGAGTGAAGCATGTAGGTTGAGGTAGTGCTCCCTTAATTTCCCGAGTGAGGAAAACTTCTCGTTTGGAGACTTGAAAAATCCAAGTCACTAAGTGATCGTGAGACTTCCGAGTATCAAGGTGCAGTAGCATATGGTAGGAGTCCCCCAAGTCTCTGGTCGAGGGAGTTGACGAATGAGGCATTTCCTTTCTAAGTGGTAGCCCAAAACTCCTTCTTCATATATATTTGTTATGAAAGTTGTTAGGCCCAAAGAAGAGGATGCCTAGGCAAATTTTTTATTTTTTTATTTTTTTTATTTTTTGATTTTTCAAATTTCCAGATTTTTGAATTTTCGAATTTCTGAAAAGAAAAAAAAAATATATATATATATATATATATATATTTAAAAGCTTTGTTGGTGAAGCTTTGGTGTTGAAGCTTTGTAGGTGAAGCTTTGTTGGGCATCATGAATTGATTTTGCTTCACACTATCTTGATGAAGAGTGTGTGAAGCTTTTATATGTTTTGGTGTTGAAATTATGTATTGTAGGTGAAGCTTTGGGGTTGAAGCTTGATAGGTGAAGCTTTGGTGTTGAAGCTTTATAGGTGAAGCTTTGGTGTTGAAGCTTTATAGGTGAAGCTTTGGTGTTGAAGCTTTATAGGTGAAGCTTTGGGATTGAAGCTTTATAGGTGAAGCTTTTGTTGGCACCATAAATTAATTTTGCTTCGCACTATCTTGATGAAGATAGTGCAAAGCTTTTGAGTT